TCACAGGGAAAATCTTCCCAATATCTAACCTAAACTTCCCCTCCTTCAGTTTGAACCCATTTCCCCTTATCCTATCCCTGCAGCTCCTAACACAGAGTCCCTCTCTGGTTCCTTGTAGCCCCTCCAGATACTGAAAAGTTGCTCTGAGGTCTCCACAACTTGGAGAAACTCAGAACTATTCTTCCCAAATAATTTGCTTCCCACTTTAAAGTACAAGCAAATAATCAGCAGTACAAGTTATTTCATTCAATTTCTACCTTTTAGAAATGCTTTCATTTAAAAATGATTAAATACAAATAAGCTCAGAAATGTCTCAAATTACTTTTCCCCAATGATATACATTACATATCTCACTGAATACTAATTAGAGCATAGGAATTCCAGCTTTAAATTAATACTTCAGGATGGATTTGGTGAAATACTTTGCTGTTCTCTGTGGGGTTCCTTTATACAAACAATGAAAGTGCCTAAGAGTAGGATTCTGGAAGAAATCCAGGCAGAAGATTAAAATTCATTGTGTCTTAAATACATCACACCAGGGGTTGTCAAAGGGTTGTTAAATACTTGTTGCACATATAAAACTACACCTCAATATTCTCTGCAGTGCACAAATCAGTGCACTGAAAGGGAGAACTTCTGAAATGGGAAATAAAAGATACTGAATACAGAATTCTCTTAGTGGGAAAATTAAAGACAAGGAAAACATTGAGTTTTATAGAGTCATAGAATAGAATCATAGAATTTAGGGTTGGAATGGACCTTACAGATCATCCAGACCCAACCCCCTGCCCTGGGCAGGGACACCTCCTCACTAGATCAGGCTGCTCAGGCTTCATCCAACCTGGAATGAACACTGCCAGGGTTGGGGCAGCCACAGCCTCCCTGGGCAACCTGGGACAGTGTCTCACCACCCTCACAGGGAAAAACTTCCTAATATCTAATCTAAACTTCCCCTCCTTCAGCATGAACCCATTTCCCCTTGTCCCATCACTGCAGTCCCTAACACAGAGTACCTCTCTGGCTCCTTGTAGGCCCTTCAGATATTGAAAAGTTGCCCTGAGGTCTCCACACAACCTTCTCTTCTCCAGACTGAACAGCCTCAACTCCCTCAGCCTGTCCTCATAGGGGAGATGCTCCAATCCTCTTAGCAACTTCATGGCCTCCTCTGGACCTGCTCCAACAGTTCCATGTCCTTCATATGTTGAGGACACCAGAACTGTGTGCAGTATTCCAGGTGGATCCCACCAGAGCAGAGCAGAGGGGAAGAATCCCCTCCCTTGCCCTGCTGCCCACTCTCCTGTGGATGCAGCCCAGGATTCCACTGGTTTCTGGGCTGAGCTCACACTGCAGCCCATGGTGAGCTGCACTCCCAAGTTTTCCTCCTCACTGCTGTTAAAGAATGGTTGGAATGTGTTGGGTTTCATACTTACCCTAACAGCCCAGTGAGTCTCTGTGGAAGGTGGTGTGATCCCCAAAGGACTGCTAGTGTCATGCTGCAAATTGAGGAATATTTTATTTATCTGTATAGAAAAAAACATTAATACACACAGTTCTGTCTCTAATGCTGACTAACTGTGGTTACAGACATGAAGGTTAAGCATACTGAGGCTGCACATGTACCTAAATAAAGTCACACTCAGTTCTACTGTTACAGCACTTGGATAAGGACATTCCCAAGGTGCATTAGGTACTCAAACATACAACTGAAGCTCCAGAAAGTTCCACAGCAGCTGCTACAGGCAAAGCTGCAGTTGTGCCTTTCACAGAATCACAGAAGTTGGACCCTTGAGGATCGTCCAATCCAACTCTTTCACTCCTCACTCTTGTTGACCTAGCCCCAAAATAAGCTTTTTTTTTCTTTCTTTTTTTGATAAATTCAGGGTTTAGCCACATCAGCTTCCTGCCCAAGCTGACCAGAGTTCAACTCACACCAGTTGTGCCAAGACTGTGGCAGCCTGTGGTGTCCTGAGGAGCAGCTGGGACAACACCTGCAGTGTCACAACCATAGCTTCACTCCTCACTCTTGTTGACCTAGCCCCAAAATAAGCTTTTTTTTTCTTTCTTTTTTTGATAAATTCAGGGTTTAGCCACATCAGCTTCCTGCCCAAGCTGACCAGAGTTCAACTCACACCAGTTGTGCCAAGACTGTGGCAGCCTGTGGTGTCCTGAGGAGCAGCTGGGACAACACCTGCAGTGTCACAACCATAGCACTGATGAACCAGGAGGTGATTCCAACTGAAACCTTAGCTCTCAAACACAGACAAGAGATTCAGGTGGATGTTACTTACAAATTTAGGAAGTGGCACAGTCAGGTTGAGACTGCTCAGGTTAACATCGTGGCCGTTCTGTGCACACGCCACGAGGCGCAACGCGACGTAGAAACCCTACAGACAATTGTGCAATTAAAACCAGCAAAAATAAGCCATTGATGACTTTTCCTAACTCAGTAAATGATGAGTAAAACAGCTCTACAATACCAACTTCCCCACTGCTTTTAAAGATGGTTCAGGAAAAGTTTTACCAAAGAGCAGGAAATTTAAAGCTAATTTTTACAAAGGACTTTCCAATAATGAAGTAAACTCCAACAATTTTTTCACAGAAGTTAATGTTTTAAGAAATTTATCAATATTTACGAGTCACTTGTAGATACTGATGAAGGAATTTGATATCCCAAACTATTTGAGCAAAAGTCCTATACTAACTGTTAAAATCACACTTTGTGACTCAATGACTTTGTGTCTACAAATCACACACTGAATATTTACAAAACAAGAGAGATGAAGAAAATTAGATCCAAACTTCTCACTGAGTCATACACTAGGATATGAGCAATGCCAGGGAAAAAAATTCATCTGTAAACAAAACCTTAAACCAAATAAAGCTAAGGATAACTCCTACTGGTGTCAGGGTTTGCTTGAACCAAGGCTAACCTCTGAAAAGGGAACAGAGGTCTACAGGAACATGGTGTTTACCTGTTTATCTAAGTATCCTTTACCCTCTGGGTCAGCCAAATCCCATATCTGTGGAGACACAACACAAAAGCCACTGTGAATTTAAGATACAACTCAGCTCAGCAGTTCACACTGTGTGTCCTCTTGAAACCTTCATTAAGCTGTCAAGCCATGACAGACAACGTTGTTTGTCAAGCTAACAAACCAGACAAATTTTCCTTTCACGTTTTTCCTTTCACTTGAACGACGTGCAGATAATTTCTGCATTATCTGACTCCTTCAACTTACCTTTCCCAGGATGATATCAGACAGACCAGACTTTTTCAGAAACAGAGCAGCTTCACTGGCCCCAACTCTCCCTGTGTATGTTGGATCTACCTGAAAGAGAGAAATGAACACTTAATTGAAGTCTGACTGTCAAAAAAGCAAAGAAGAAATGCAATGTCTCCTGTCCCTAGGTCAACAGGAGTTACAGAAACTGCACAACCACTCAGCAGGGAGAACCTAGAGGTTCAGCACTGCAATAGGGAAAGGAAAGAGAGAAATCTTGGGCAAGAAGACACTGCACTCTGGTTTTACTATTCTTTTTTAAGAACATACCTGTTTGTAGTAAGTTTCATATATTGGGTTCCCAGTAGAAAACTGAAAAACAAGAGAGTTCTTAAGAAAAGAGAATGAACAGCAATTCCAACTGACAGGAAAATTCCTGTATTACTTCTACCAAGAATTTAAACCAGTGTGTTAATTTGCTGTGTTCTGAGTGGGATACTTGAAGTGTGGATAACAGTGATCCCCCAAACCTGCAGCCAACAGGTTCCTGTCCCCTCTGAGAGCTCACTCACCAGCACCTCACACTTCTCATTAACACCACATGCTAATAAGGTTGTGTAGAACAGCTTTGAACTCTTGGCCAAAGTATTTCAGCTCTCAGTTTGAGAGCTACTGATAGCAAAAGCTCAGTTGTCAGCACGATGCTGACCTGACTGACCCCTGCACTGGATATATCCTTATGGAATATTTTCAGCAGACAGTTACACACACACACACACACACACACACACAGAGCCTTGTGCCTGTGCCTTGCCCCTTCAGGACTAGAGCCTGCAGCTGAAACAGAGGCAAACAAACAGAATGAATGGTCAATTAACAACTGTCACAGCTCCCTGACAATGCTGATTGAGGATCTCAGCTTGGTGCCATCACTGCATTACAGCAGAGCAAAGTCAGGCCCTGCCTCTGCAGTGTACTGAGCAAGATTCCCCTTCCCTCTTGCTGGTATTCCAAGCAGATGGGAACTGGAATGGCAAAAGAGGCAGAAGCTCCCAAACCAATCTTCTCACTTATCTCCTACAACTGCCACACAAGTTCTAGCCATGTGCAGGTTATCCCTCCACACTCTTCTGCAGCCAACAGCAAACCCAACCAGGTCTCAAACAAGTCACCCCTTAGAGCAGCAAAAGGCCTTACAACACAACTGACAAAACAACCCAAGAAACATCTCAATGAGAGAGAAGCAGAGACGTGACAACAGCCCAAAACCTGCTGGGGACAACCAAACACCTACAGAACACCAGTCAGACACCTGACAAAGGAGTCTTTGCACTAATCCCCATCACTGGTATGTCACCTCCCAAGTGCTACCTTCTTCCTTGTTGGATTTCCAGATGTTCTGCCTACTCTGAGGGAAAGGAAGGTAGAAATAGGATAAAGAAAAGACCAAGGGAGAGCAAGAAATTTTATAGCACCAAAAGAACCTTCCTGGGAGTTTACAATAAACATTCCAAATCTCTCCAAGATAACTAAACCCTCTGAATGTGGAGCCCAAGCAAACACTGATTCCTTGAGGATTAATAGCTCTATTTGGATGGAAAAATTATGCATTTTCACAACAGTTCCCTAAGCATCTTAAATGTGCTTCACTTCCATCCATCAACAAAATAAGCTGCTGCATTCTCCAATGTCAGTGCCCTCTGGAAGCTCTTGTTCTTCCAGAAGGTGGACAGGATTCCACAAGAATGCCATGACCATAGCCCATAAATCTGACTGTTCTTCCTGCTGGCATGTAAAAGACCAGCACAGATAAGCACTGTGTTTCTGTCCAAGCAGGAAACACATCAGCCAGAGAAAAGGTGGAAGTAGGATAGAGTCTGTCCAACTCTGAATAAACCCCAGCATGTTTTAGCCAACTCTCCCTGAACTGTGTACCTCTTGTTTCTCAGAAAGCTCAGGGAAGAGAGCCAAACACCAACTACAAGCTCCTCTAAGTGATTTGGTGAGTATCCTCAAGCGTGCAGAGGTTGGATTTGTACCAAGGTACAGAGCAAACCACTCCAGCAGCAGTGCTGAATGATCTCACCCCATCACCAGACATTCCTGTCACCCTCATCTGATACTGTCAGCAGTGACACAGAGCTGACTTACCTGACAGAGGTGGCAGGAATCCAGGGTGATGTGCTTCAATGCTGTGAAGTTTCTTCTACAGCATAATATCCACCCAAGTGCTGCAGGAAAGCACTTCAGCACTGGATTCTCTACAGAACTGTACAAAGATTCAGCCTCCCTGACCGATTTACCTAACTGACTGAGTCTCTGTGATGAAACAAACCAGACAAAATGGGTTCAAGGGATAAAAATAGCACAGTTCCCTCTCTCCCCATCACCACCTGTGACTGCATCACTATCATTCAAGAGGATTCTGTGATTTGGTGATCTGTTGATGAAGGACCTATCAATGCTGGCAATCAAACACTGTGAAGAGTTTGCAGGTGATGATGTCAAAGCATAAGCTGTTACAGAGGTTCAGTTTGACTTCCAGTTTAACCATGGCTGCTCCATCCTCCCCCAAACTTCATCTCTGACCATCACTTTACCCATGTCCCAAACAGACCCTTCAGTACTCTGGTACCTTGTTATCTTCAAACGAATTTCCTGTAGAAATCTGAAGTTCAAGTCTCACACTTGCACACTCCCAGCAGATCCCTGTGCTGTGTTTGTGGTTACACACACACATGGATACTGCTCCAAGGCCCTTAATGCAGGGCTGGGAGAAAGGCAGGAGTAAGCTGCTGCCACCAGCACAATTAAGACAGCCAGTCCTCTCTCCTGAGGTCATCCCAGGGCCACAGAGAGCTCTGGATCAGATGAATTATTTTCCTTGGTGTCCTCCTCTTTAAAAATTCTCTTTCAGCCACACTATGGAATAGGTGGAAACAGGGAGTGCAAAAGGGGAAAAAACAAGGTGTTCACAAAGACCAGAGCCACAAGAAGGTTGGTACTGCCCTCAAAAAGTTACTTTGGCCCTTATGCTACTTGCTCAGTATTCTGAGCTGAGCTACAAAGGGATCTGCACTGTCTCAATGTCTCTAACAAGTCTCTCCAGAACCTCCTAAGACTGTAGGCTTGGCACAGTGGAAAAACCACTGGCAAGGTGATCAACTGGAAGAAAATAAAGTTATCAAGGATGAAGAACAACTGAAACTGGACTGAACTCTGAGAGCTGATTTTACAGTTGAAGCTTGCTCTCCAGCTGGGTTTATGCACAGCCAGGTGAAACAAAGACAGATAAAATGTTAGTTTGCATACTCTCAGTCAGGGATCTAAATCCTCTTTCATAAAACCGTAACTTCATATGACAACAGAATCATAATAAAGTCCATTTGTGAGATTAAACATCACAGAATCCCAGAATAGTTTGGGTTGGAAGGACCTTAAAACTCATCCAGTGCCAACCCCTGCCATGGGCAGGGATACATTCCACTAGTCCAGGTTGCTCCAAGCCCCATCCAACCTGGCCTGGAACATTCCCAGGGATAGCCACACCACAGTTGCTCTGGGAAATCCATTCCAGTGCCTCAACACCCTCACAGGGAGGAATTCCTTCCTAAAGTAAAGAATTTCCTAAAGTAAAGATATTACTATCAATATCCTTATCTTAAATCTTTCTGAGTGGACACAGAGCACATGTTCTCTCTCCTTCTAATTCCACTTCTGGCATTTACTGCAACTGCCACATATCTCCCCAGTAATCACAAAATTGAGGCTATTAAAAGAGGAAGTTTATTAATTTCCTGTTTTAGCTAATTAATTTAAGGGAGATTCTGTTTACTGCTCTGTTTACAGCTAGATTACTCCTGACAGTTCAATACAGAGAAAGAAGTTAGAATGTAGAAGTAGAAACCAGAATGTTTCCAGTGAATTCGTTGGAAAATAATGTCAAAAGAACTGATACCTTCACTGAATTGGCCCTTTTTGCCCTAACCATTACATGTTATACCAGAGGAAATACCATTGTTGCCAGTCTCTCCATATCAGTGAGAATTTAAACAACACAGAAATTGGATTTCTAGTAGAAGTATTTGATAATTATTTGGTTGTTACCAAGGCACTATAGAAGTTCCACAACAACAAACCCTTTCAGGTTTGTACCACATCACTTGAAAACTCCTGACAACAGTTTTTGTGTGCACATGGATGTTTTCAGGTGTTTCTGAACATGTTCATTTAATTAAAGAGATGTTAATCAAGTCTGCTATTCAAGGGCTAAAAAGTCTCTTAGCAAGACACACAGCAAACCACTTATTACCCAAGCATCACAGAGCTGCACTGAAAGATGAATCTGCAGAGTATCACAAATAAAAGACCATTATTAAAAGGAAATAGATGGATTTAAATCATTTGGACTAATTGCAGTTGTTCTGAACTCCTAACTGGCCTTGGCACAGTGTAGATTAGTCTTAGTTTCAAGGCATTGGGGGTGGTGAGGTGGTGCTGCTTTTCTTTTGCTTTAAAGGAGATAAGTAAACTGACTCTTCACAGGGGTATGGAAAAGAATAAACATATGTTTATTCCTTAAAGCCTTAGCTCTTGGGGCAGGAAGGAAATGGAGAAGGACTTGAGAAGGGATGGACAGATTATGCTGTTAAGGCTCAAATCATTTGGGTGAGAAAAGCAATCAAAAGAACCTGAACAACACAAATCAACCTAAGGATCCAAACATTCCACCAGAGCTGGCAACAGCCTCTCCCAGGGGTTTGCCACCCTCCTGGAGTGAGACATGCTCCAAGGGTCAGGGCTGTGTGCCTGTCCCTGCCCTGCAGCAGCCTCACTCTGCTGCTGGTGAACACCTTCCTGCTGTCCCTGCACCCCCAAACACCCAGCACAGCCAAAACACAGCCACGACAGCACGAACCCCACGTCCTAAACTGGGAAACGGGGTGCCCTGCTGGGTCAGAGCCCTGAGCAGGGGGTGAACTCCAGCTCCAGCCCCATTCCCACTCCTAACTCCACCCCTACCTGCAGGTCCAGCCCCATATCCAGCTCCCAGCACCATTCCCAGCTACAGACCCAGTCCCATTTCCAGCTCCCAGCACCATTCCCAGCTCCAGTCCCATATCCAGCTCCCAGCACCATTCCCAGCTACAGACCCAGTCCCATTTCCAGCTCCCAGCAC